AATATATAATATAATAGGCGTAATAATACCGAATTTGAAAGCTAACAGTTCATCTAAGTTCGATGATATGGTATTGGTGTTGGTAAACAATACTTTGATGTGATTAAAAAGTGGCAAACAATAATTTTTGAAACGATAAATAATATTTATTTTGAATACTGATAAATAACAATACCATTTAAGAAATGTTAAGTCATATTGTCATTTTTGAGATGATAATTATCTAATTAATGCCTCATCTACGTTCTTATCACTATATCAATAAACAATTGAAATTTTTACCATTCAATAATATTTTTAGCTCTCACCATCTGAAAAATGGGATTTTGATTTGTCACATGTGCAACATCTTCCACAAGCTCATTATTATACTGGATTCCGTAATTTGCGTTCTCCAAGTCCACCCATTTGTCATCGTTACGACTTTTCGACGGTCATTTTATAGCTTTTTAACTTCATTTAATAATTTGAAACTTTTTAATTCATTTCAGTTTTTTTTTTGAATGACTGTAAAATTATGATTAACTAATTATAAATAACGGAATAGTAAAAAATGGAAATTATCAATTTGTTGTAAATTTTTTGTTAATCGTGAATTTTTCATTTCTATCATTGAATTTTAATTATTTAGAATTATAAATTATAAATATCTGCAAAATTTAACTATTAACGATTATTCCAAAAACACAAAATTAATACATCTTATCTTTTTTCTAATTTGTATTGATTTATTGATTTTTTGTAAAAAATTTTGATTACGATCATTTCACTTCCTTCTTTTTTGTTAACTTTAGTATGGTCAATATGCTGCATCTCGACCACCGATATGTCCACCGGAACATGGCCGTTATCTTCCTACACCATTGTCTCCAAGATATGCAAGAAATCCTTTTCCTGGTCCTCCTCCTAACAGCATTTATATTCCATTTGATGAACAATTACCACGAAATCGAAAGGTTACATCTAAGTTAGCAAGACGTCGTGGTGTCCATATTGATCCGTTGACTGGTAAAGTGACAATTTTCAGACGACGAACTCATTCAAAACAAGATTAAAAATATTATACACATTAGGTAATATATCATATTTCTAATGTAATTAATAAATAAATACTGATTAATAAATAAATTCAATGAAATTGAATTTATTAATTTTATTTTTTAATTTCTAACTTTAACAACATATTATAAAAAATAAGGGCGTGGAAGAATAAGGAGAAATAAGGGAGTTGATTTTTTCAATCTTTCTTCTACTCTTCCATCATTCATATTTTGATTATTTCAATTTAATTTATTGATTTCTTCATTTAAAATTAATTACTACTTGTAGATTTCCATGAAGTTTTAATAATCGCATTTGTCAAATTTAATTTTTAGCAATTTGCAATCGACAGTTTATAGTTTGTATAAAAAAATGAGAGGAAAAAGATATTATTCATAAGTTATGAATATGTCAAATATTTGTCTCTTCATATATTTTTTTCTTTCTCTTTCTTTTTCTTTTTCCCTTTTTATCACTTCGACTTAACGTAGTATTATCACTTATCATTCCTGCAACAACAACTAATTATGCTTATCATTTAGCGAATTTAATATCTAAACGATTATTTCAATGCTTTTATCACTCCGTTTTCCGGAATATTTTGTTTATATTTCAAAATTTTTCATTTATTTTTACTATTTCAAAAAAATCCAAAATTACTACTGTAAATTGCATGCAGTTTCTAAATAATTTTTAAATTTCAAAATTTTTGAGAATTGTTTTTTTTAAAATAATTATCAAATTCAAAAATTTCGGAAGGAATTTGCGAGTTATTTTCCAATTAAATTTAAAAATTTCGTAAGTTTTGAATAAATTGTTTATCTTATAATTAATTTCACATTAACGCACAATTAAAAGGATAAAATAAGATAAAAGAATATTTCAATATTTTAATGAAGTGGATCTTCGCTTTTGAAATTTAAAAGTTATGCAAAATGACTTTAATGGAAAATTTGAATAAAATGTTTATAAGTCTTTTGCATTAATTTCAACAATTTGCTAAAAAGACATTACTTTTGCATTTTTTATTTGTCTGATTAAAACGATTAAGTGAAAATTTTGACAAAGATATGTTGCTAAAGCGAAATTTCAAATTCGAATTTGAAATTTGAAATTAAATTTTACATCATAGTAATGCTACTTTTTCTCATAAATATCAATTAGTTCGGAGGCAATGATTCATAATGATCCATTTTTTTTTTATTATGATAAAAACAAGAAAGAAATTAATAAAACTAGGATTACAATCAAATATTTTTATCTTTTTTCTGGATTTCTTTGCCAAATTTGTTTATTTCATTTACGAAAGAAATATTTTGCATTGAAACTGGAAGAAATTAAATTTTTAATTAAATATCTATATTATTAAAGTATTGTATATATTTAAAAGAGTACTTTTATGATGTGATAATCACAGCAAAATATTGAAAAAAAGAAAATTGCGAAGTAAAAAAATTTCAATAATTTTTTAAATATTTGGAATTTTTGATTATTTAATAAGAATGCAATTTTATAATATTTATTCCTTATAGTTTTTTTCCTTGTAAAAAAATTTCCAAATGAAATATATTTAAATTTGAATTTTAGTGCTTCCTTATTTAGATCATTTTAATCCATTTCATCTCTTCCACAACGAAAAAGCAATTGAGTTATCTATATTATTACATTTTTTGATAATCATTCTGATTATCATTTTCAGCCTATTTCTGATAGTAAAGAAAAAAAAAGGAATGAAAACTAAATATGACAAATCCTTAATGAGAATTCCATTTTAATGACCGAAAAACAAAAAAATTTTATCAAATTTCATCCAACAAATTGAAAAATATTTAAATTAATACCAACTACATCATATCACTTTTTGTGTAATTAATTTATAATTAATACAATTAGCACATTGTATACAATTGAACACACTGTATACAATTAATACATTATACCAATTAATAGAATTAATACATTATACATTATCAACAATTAAATAACTATGCATAATTAATGCATTATGTCAATTAATATAATTAAGAAATTATATGCAATTAATACAATGTACAATTAATACATTATATTTTTCGCATAATTAGATTTGATTAAAATTGTTCAAAAAAAAGTGATATTAAGTTATAGATTTAAATGTTCGATAATTTTTGTGAATCTTATTTATCAATTATAAGACACTATTTATTTATTTATTTGTTTATTTATTTATTTATTTATCTATTTATTTATTTATTTATTTATTTATTTGTTTATCCATTTATTCATTCACTCATTCATTCATTCATTCCTGCATTCTTTCATTCATTCCTGCATTTATTTATTAATTTATTCATTTATTTGTTATTTTATTTGAGTCTTTAGATTTGAAGCATCAAAACATGGGCAAACTCAGTACTTAACTAATTAACTCTTGTGCATAATGCAAAAATTAGTAATGAAGCTATAAAATTATTTTAACAAATATCTGTTGATTTATTATTTTAAAAATAAAAAATATTTATGAAAAAAGAAAGTTGAAATAAAAGAAGTTTATTCATTCTTTACAAAAAGTTTTAAAATTAAAAAATAAAATGTTAAATTTTATGATACCAAACAATTTTATACTTTTATAAAGTACCTTTTTTTGTCATTGAAATTTTCCTTTTCCATTTTAAAGAATCATTTTATTGCATGCAATATTGTCATTTATTCATTTTAATGAATGGAAATAAATATATAAAAGATAGATTTATATGGTAAATTTGATATATTTATAATCAATAAAAGAACATATCACTTGAACTAAGCTATTTTTTCTTATTTTTATTATTTATTATTTACATTCATTTAACGGATAAATTGATGAAGCGATATCATTTAATAACATTTGTCCCGAGATTTCTCGAATTATCGATACATCTTACCGGATTTATTTCTTATGAATTATTGAATGGATATGGATGGAAATAAAACAGTTGGATGGCGGAAGCTCGTCCTTTTAGAGAGAACCGTTTGCAAAAAACTTTAGTAGGTATTGTAAGTAACGTGTACAGTTTACGAGAAATTCTGATAAATATCGTAACGTGTACGTTTATGGAAAATTTTGATGACTACTGTAACGTGTATATTTAGGGAAAATTGTGATGAGCGTAACGATCAATCCTTTCTTTAATGAATCCTTCGCAACTTGTATGTTTGGCATTATTTTTTAAATATACATTTATAAATAATCAAATTATGCGAATAACAATCGCATTTAGCAAAGTCACATAAGCAATCGATTCTTTCGCTTTTATAGTAATTTGACCGTAAAAGTCACTTTCAGAAGAAATAGCACAAGATTAGCATAAAGGCTTGTGATGAGTGGAAATGATACATGAATATATGAATTGGAGGATACATTTG